AGTCTTTAAAAGATTTTTAAATAATTTTTAAAAGGTTTTAAAAGTCGAGGTTGATAAAATCCCAACACTATTAATTTACTACCTAATAAACTCTAGCACTCAAAATAGAAAGTTCATCGATTCGTCGGAAGTGAGGCGGCGTGAGGATGATCTTTCAAGATTCAGACGACGGTTGATCATCTTTGTATCCATTGTTGTTTAAAAACTCATGATTCTCCTTAAGAAACCTCTCTAGTTTTTGGGATTTTTTCTTGCTTAATTATTGGCTTAACCTTCTTTCTTCTAATGATACTTTATTGGCTTCATTATTGGATTTTTCATGATACTCCCAAATCTTTTTAAAGGTCAGATTTTCTTTAAAGAGTTTTGTTTTTTCCTTAAATTTTAGAGCTAAGTAATGGCTATATGTTGGTTAGTTATACTAAAGGTATATTTTATCGTCAAAAACATTATAATTTCATGGTTGATATGAATTATATACTTCAGAAAACATTATGTTTCAGTATTATTAGAATCTTATAGTTAATGATGTTGAAACTACATTTAAGAGATGACTACAATTACACTTAATTGGTGACACCAATATGATTACCTAAATTTTCTAATTTCTGTGTGAAAAATCTGCCGAGCGAGTTAGACTATAAGTATAACATACTCCCTCCGTTCATAAAAGATAATTTTTCTAGAGAAATTTTTTTGTTTCAAAAAGATAATTGTTTTAAGTTATCCATGCGTTATTAGTTAGAATTTACAAATTTTGGTAAATAACTAAATATTATTGGTTTAGAGTTCTAAACATCCGTGAATCACAAAAAATGATATATCAACTTTTAGATGTTTTTAATATGTGTGAAAAATCTAGAAAATGATCTTTTAAGAACATAAGGAAAGATTATTTGGCCGAAAAAAACATCAGCGACATTTGCGTCGCTAATCGGAAACGTAGACCGGCGACTAGAGTTAGATCATCAGAAGGTAGATCGAGAGAGGTAGTAAGAGATACAAAGCTGTCTTATGAGAATATAAAATTTGTCAGCTCTGTTCTTCACAACCATTGGAAGGTTTTATTCTTTTTGACTCTTTCTTTCTTATTAAACTACTTTTCGATAACTATATATATTATTTTTTACATCGTTCATAATAACTTAGTTTATAGGTTGCATGTCAAACTATAGACTATAGTACTAGTTTTGTTATGAATATGAACTTTGGAGATCTTGTTGGCAATGAATGTGATGTAACTGATGCCAAAATGGAGATTACAAAAAAAAAATGAAGACTTGAATTGGAATTGGTAACACAATAACACGATATGAGACATGTTTATGATAACATATCTAGAGTTTTTTTTTTTTTTTTTCATTTTTTTTTTCATTTTCCTTTGTAAAGTAGAAAGATAAAGAGAACATATTATTGGCGTAAAAGTTTCATATAAATATATTGTCATTAGTTGTATCTTTATTGGTCGAATTATTTAACTTATCTTATAATTATAAGCAGGATTATGCATGATTTCTGTTAATTAAGAAAATAAGATAAAACAATAATTTTTGAAAAGCAGATTTTAAAGGACTTCTAATCCCACTTTCTAATCTCCTTTATACATTATTGATTGATGAATACTTAATTTAATTGGCCAAAAGAAGTCAAATACCACGTGAAAACACACCGTCTGAAATGTGCAATATTTTATTTATCCCCTATATATTAATAGAGAAGTATTTTTAATTTAAAAAGCGAATAAAAGTTTATATTTACAAAAAACGAATGCATCTCTATTAACACTTTAACTAAACAAATATTCCATATTAACTTTTACGGACACGATATTCGTTTTACAACCACGTTAAAATATTTTCTTACAGAACCAAACATAAAACCCTAATGTATATTTAACTAGATTCGGATCCGCGCTATAGGGCGGAGAAAATAATTATATATATATAACTTTTAACTGATTAGTATATGTTACATTTTAATTTTATTGCAGTGCAGTCGATTATGGTGAATCATATATTTATATAATAAGTTTAAATAAAACATTAAAGGAAAAATCGAGTAAATAATCATATATTGAGTTTTGATACAATTCAAAACACGGTGAAAATTTAACAGCACGAAATAATATTTTTCGATAAATATTCATTTTGACCATTTTTGTAGTAGAAGTAGGAATATACATAGAAATTACATATTTACAATATATTTTTTGAAGGACCAGCCCGTAACAAAATTCATTTCGTAAAAAACATTATTCATACTCGCTTTATCATTATAATTATGATTTTAACAAACTACTCGTGAACTATCTAAAATTTATATAGTTTGATATATAATATATTTTATTAATAAAAATTATGTCTCCAAAATTACATTTATGTTTTCTAAAAAATATTTTCAATATTTTAAATTCTAATTTTTAAATATATTTAAACTTTTAGTTATAATATTTTGAAACTTTTTGAAAATTTAATATGCTCATGTAACAATGGTTTTAATATTGGTCATAGTTATAATGATTTTAAACCATTGTCCAAAATAGTTACCGAGTGTAGTTGAGTATTATCTGTCACAGACATATAATACTCAACTACACTGATTAGTATATGTTACATTTTAATTTTATTGTAGTGCAGTCGATTATGGTGAATCATATATTTATATAATAAGTTTAAATAAAACATTAAAGGAAAAAGCGAGTAAATAATCATATATTGAGTTTTGATACAATTCAAAACACGGTGAAAATTTAACAGCACGAAATATTTTTCGATAAATATTCATTTTGACCATTTTTGTAGTAGAAGTAGGAATATACATAGAAATTACATATTTACAATATATTTTTTGAAGGACCAGCCCGTAACAAAATTCATTTCGTAAAAAACATTATTCATACTCGCTTTATCATTATAATTATGATTTTAACAAACTACTCGTGAACTATCTAAAATTTATATAGTTTGATATATAATATATTTTATTAATAAAAATTATGTCTCCAAAATTACATTTATGTTTTCTAAAAAATATTTTCAATATTTTAAATTCTAATTTTTAAATATATTTAAACTTTTAGTTATAATATTTTGAAACTTTTTGAAAATTTAATATGCTCATGTAACAATGGTTTTAATATTGGTCATAGTTATAATGATTTTAAACCATTGTCCAAAATAGTTACCGAGTGTAGTTGAGTATTATATGTCCGTTTTGAAAAATTCAAATTGCAACATATGTAAAAAAAAAGTTAAATTTTTATATTATATAGTATAATATCATAAATTAAAAATAAGATCAAATAAAAGTGAAAGAAAAATAATAATTTTTTAATAGATTATATTAAATTAGTTAGAATCATTTTGTAAATATACCCTAAACTTTAAATCATAAACCCAAACCGACAGAAAAGTTACATTTAATTCTAATATCTAAACCCTAAGTCGCATTTATCAACTCTAATTTATTTATAACCCTAAACACGCATTCTATAATGGGGGTTCGTATGTACGTATTGAATAACAATTGTATCATATATATGGAGTACGAAGCTGATAATTGGGTACACTACAAAAATACCAGTATTCATATAAGAACTCCGAAATGGGTGTACCAATAAGGACAGTGAACTCTGGATGTAAGAGTAATATCAACGAATTTTAAAAAATTATTTTGTAAATATACCCTAAACTTTAAATCATAAACCCAAACCGACAGAAAAATTACTTTTAGTTCTAAAATCTAAACCCTGAGTTGCATTTATCAACCATATCCTATATCTGGAGTACGAACACTAAAAGGAGAATTCATACGAATAACAAAATAATAGAATACAACCATGCTACAAAAATTATGAACACTGAACATAGAGTACGAACATATTAAATATGAAAAAAATATCTGTACATATTTGCAAAATATATCAAAATTCGTCTTTATAGATTGGAAAAAATGTTCTAAATATTAGTATCACATTTGGATAATTTTTTAGATCAAAAATTGTGATAGACTCGTGTTTATAAGATTTTTTTTTTGGTGAAAACTCGTGTTTATAAGATTTAAGAAAGAGAACAAAGACAAAGAAAAAATAAAAAATGAGAGACTTTTTTTTTTGTTTATGCAAAACGAATAATGGCATCAATGGTAGTTTTTATAAATTGTTGACAGCACAGAAGAATTGAACATGGCCGTGTATAGTGTGTAGCGGTGTTATCTCCCAGTTTTAAATAATACCTGGTCCATACCAACAATAACTTTGTCAAGAACTAGAAATCATAACTTCATCAAATTAATTAAATAAGTATAATATTATAATTTTTAGTTCTTTTATATATTATAATTTCATATTAAAATATTTTGTGAGTTCTACTATAGTAGACAACTCGTAAAAATATTTATAATCATAATTATGTAAATTATAACCCGTTACATCACATGACCCGTGCTACACAATTGTAAATAATATTTTAGTACATCCATTTTTTGTATTGTTTGAGTAATATACATCCGTTTCTAAAAATTCAAATTCCAACATATGCAAAAAAAATATTATATTTTTACTATACATATGTTTATGTATTAATATAAATTTAAAAACAAATAAGATCATATAAAGATGTTGGATAAATCTTTGATTTATAAGGGAGAGATTTAGGAAAATTTGTTAAATGTAATAAATATTGATTTATAATTTTGCAATTTTATTATGATTTAATTACAAAACTTATCTTAAACCATTTCGATTTAATCAAATGGCAAGGGTCTAATTATGAAAATATTACAAAATAAAAGGGTAGAACACAAAAGGTATTTCAAAAATGTTAATATAGATTTGGTGTCAAATAAAATTTACAAATTCAATATTCATTTTTTTTTTTCATAAGCAAATATCTGTCTTTACATAACCATGGAACTAGATTTTTCTTTGTAATTAAATAGTTTAGAGAAAAATCATAAATAGTTTAAAAAGAGTAAAGAAAAAAAAAAAAAAAAAAGGAAAATCATAAATCCTGTCAGAAGTAAGCGAACCTGAGTAGAGAAATCGACAATGGAAGACGGCGAAATAGAGGAAGGAATGGTGACCGCCGACGAAACCCCGACGCCGGAAGTAACGACGACGACGGAGACTACACAACCACCGCGAGAACCAGGCAAATCTCCACTCGAGTTACTCCGAGAGAGCAAAACCTCCGTAGAAGAAATCGTCGCGAAGATGCTCTCAATGAAAAAAGAAGGAAATCACAAATCCGAGATTCAAGAGCTCCTCACACAAATGTTTCTCAACTTCGTCAATCTTCGTCAGGTTCGTTAGGGTTCTTCCTCCGCCTCTGTTTTTTTTTTTGTCTCTTATACGAAACTTAGGGTTTCGATTTTCACATTCGCAGGCGAATCGTGCGATTCTGACTGAGGAAGATAAGGTCAAAGCGGAGACGGAACGAGCTAAAGCACCGGTTGATTTCACGACGTTGCAATTGCATAATCTTATGTATGAGAAGAGTCATTACGTTAAAGCTATTAAGGCTTGTAGAGATTTCAAATCAAAGTATCCTGATATTGACCTTGTTCCTGAACAAGAGTTCTTTCGAGATGCTCCTGAAGCTATTAAAGATCAATCACAGTCAAGTGATAGTTCACATGTTTTGATGCCTAAGAGACTCAATTTTGAGCTTCATCAGGTTGGTTTATTATCATCTTTGGAATTCATTTAAGCTCATCTCCATTGATTGTTTACGTTTTGTGGAAATCATTGAGTGTTTAAGAATTTTTGGGGATAGGTTGGTATAGTTGAATGATCCAATAGGGGAAACACTTAGCAGAACAAGTTCTTACAAAATAATCATAAGTTTCTAAAAGCTGGTTTTAGTAGATTAATGATGTTTTGTTTATTTAGTTTTGTGATTAATATGGCGAAAATATATAGCAGAATTGAAAAAGTGATGTGCTGTTCATCACCTTTTGTTTTAGAGGAAAGAATTGTGTAAGCATCGAGCGAGATTGGAGCAAAAGAAGAAGAGTTTACTAGAAACTATTGCAGAGCGTAAGAAGTTTTTGTCAAGTCTTCCTCTACACCTCAAGTCTCTGAAGAAAGCATCGCTTCCAGTACAGAACCAGTTGGGTATACATCACACCAAGAAACTGAAGCAGCATAATCTAGCTGAGTTGCTTCCTCCTCCGCTTTATGTTCTATACTCACAGCTCTTGGCACAAAAGGAAGCTTTTGAAGAGAGCATTGATTTGGAGGTAGTTGGGAGCCTTAAGGATGCACAAGCTTATGCTAGACAACAATCGAAAAAGGACTCAGGTAAGTTGTTTTAAAACTTACTTTGTTCTATAATACTGAAATGAAAGGAATACTAATTTGGTATTGATTTTTCAGGTATGTTGAATAATACAGAGAGTTCTAGGTTGGAGGACGATGGACCAGATGACGATGATGATGGACAAAGGAGAAGAAAACGACCCAAGAAGCTTACTAGCAAAGAAGGTTCTGACAAGGCAGGATTATATCAAGCCCACCCTCTCAAAATTTTCCTTCACATATATGATGAGGAGATGCCTGATGCAAAATCCTTCAAACTTGTCATTCTCAAGTTTGAGTACTTGCTGAAGTTGAATGTTGTATGTGTTGGTGCCGAAGGCTCTCAGGATGGACCAGAGAAAAATATCTTTTGTAACTTATTTCCAGATGACGCTGGACTTGAGCCTCCTCATCAAGTAAGTGTTCGTTTTTGTGCTTCAGTTTTCTACGTGTGGCTTTTGATGACTTTACTTTTAAGAATGCGTACTCAATTCTCTTCGCATGGTCGGTCTTCCATGCAGTCAACCAAGCTCATCCTTGGTGATGGTCAGGCATTTGATGAGAACAGAACTTCAAGGCCTTATAAATGGGTACAGCATTTGGCGGGAATTGATATTTTACCAGAACTGTCACCTGTTTTACTAGGCGAAGAAGCTCATAACAGTGACTCAGCTAAAAGTGATGCGCTTGTGCCTAATCTTTCATTGTATCGCCAGCAGCATAGGGTGAAAACAGTTCTGCAAAGAATACGCTCGAGGAAAAAAGCACATCTGGCTCTTGCGTGAGTTCACCACTCTGTATGTTTTCCGTCTTAATTAAAGAACACAATGCAAAGAATTACAGAAAATTTGTAGGCTGCCATGATAATCCAAAGTGCCATCAGCATATCCTTCGTACAATTAATAGTTTGGTTTCTCTATAATGTGGCGGTCAACAATTTAATCCCTTTACAGCATTGTCAACTTTGTGATAAGAGCTTCCATAGGTAATCATTTCTGTTGATATGTTTGTTTTTGCTGAATACTTTGGAAACTTCTACTGGCTACAGGGAACAGCTTGATTTACTTATGAAACATGAGTTGCCAGTGGTGAAGTGCGAAGACGCTCCTTGGGCACTTCATAAGGTTCTCTGTGCTTTGGATTCCTGGTTACATATACAATCTTCAGCTAGTAAGTCATGCTCTCTGAGTCTGAACGGTGCGGAACAAGTTCCAGAACCTATGGAAATCGATGTAGATGGAAGATCTACTTCTGGAAAGGAAGATCTTGAAAGTATACGAGAAGATGGAGAACTTCCCTCTTTGGTCACAGCGGCAGCTTCTTTAACCAGTTCGAACCATACCCCATTGAAGGTATCTAATCAAGCACGGTCAAGGCAGTTGGCCTTGATGACAAAGAACCTAGATTCTTCAATTAGCAAAGGAAGGTCACCAAGTTTCAAGAAATATGAAGATGATTTGGATCTTGTTTTGGACGATGATAGTGAAGTAGATGAGCCAGCCGGAAGAACTGAGTCGCATGTGGAAGCTTTGTGCCCTGAGAAAGCTGATAATTCATGGGTGGATTATGGTGCGAGAGAGTTTGTGCTTGTGTTGTCCAGGAAAACAGATGGTGGAAAGTTGTGGAAGTTAGAAGCTACGGTAATTTCTAAAAACACTATCTTCAAAAATGGTATCTTCCCTATATCTTTTTCATTCTTAAGTGTTAAAATTGAGTTGTATTGGCAGGTCTATATCAGCATGGAATATCCTCTTCGACCTCCTTTGTTTTCTCTGTCTCTCCATGCTTCTTCCTCGTCAGGAAATGACAATGGGACCAATGAAAGTGACCATTACAATGAACTTCGAGCCATGGAAGCGGAAGTAAGTGTTACGCCCTGTAAACATATACTAATCTTTACTCGATGGCACCAACAGTAACATCTTTGTAACCTTTTCATGGCGGTATCAGGTGAACCTTCATATGTTGAAGATTATTCCTTCAGATCAAGAAAACTATCTCCTATCTCATCAAGTCAGATGCTTAGCAATGTTGTTCGACTATTACATGGAAGACCCATCTCCAGATTCCAAAAGAGGAACAGCCACAACAGTGGTTGATGTTGGTTTGTGTAAGCCTGTAGATGGTAAGCTTCTTGTGAGATCATTCAGAGGCAGAGATCACCGGAAAATGATCTCATGGAAGGGCAGAGGATGTGCATCAGGTTATCCGTGCTAGATATAACATTTCCGCCGCTCACTTCTCTATATTATCTTCCTTGGTGGTACAATCAAAGGGTTTTGCATGTCTGGTTTCACATTTCACCGTGGAACATTTTTTTACTTGATTGTATAAACTGCTATCTTTTTGGGTGAGGACCTGGTCTATTTAAACCTAGCATGTTTAAAGTCCAATCCGTTTTGAGCTCAGTATGTTTTGCTCTTGATTTAATCATTAAAGCTTAGCAGGTAACTTGGAAATTAGAAAAGTAAAAAGGGGCTCGTCACAGGTTACTCGGCTGAACCTGTCTTCATTCTTGCGTATTTGATCTAAAAGGGTTATTATGCTATGTGATTTTTCCATGTTCTTAAGTGCAGGTTCTAGTTGACAATGGTTTGTGATCAGTTTCGAGTGAACTATAGGAAGCAGTTTCTGGCTGACAATGGTTTGTGTAACGTTGATTAGCCCAAAACCCCCTTTACCCCGATTGGGATTAGTCCGAAAGGTCCTGTTTTTTGTGGACATATATTTAAGTCCGTACCCGAAGTTTTTAAGGGTCAGGCTGAGCTAGCCCAGGCTTTGTCCTAACTGACCTGCCTAGATGAGGTTGTGAATCTTGAATGGTTTGATGTGATTGATAAAACAAAAGACGGATGATTAGAGAGCAAAACAATTTTCAAGTTGTTACAAACAGTTCTTCCCCTATGCCATACGTGTTCAAATGTCGTCGTAGTTGATGCAAATGGCATCTATGAGTTGCGTAGCCCAAAAACTAAATTTGCAGTGTTTCTCGATTAGAAATTACAACAAGATGCATACTAGTATTTGGGTAACAATAATAAATACAAGAAATGATCAAATGAAAGGTACACCATTTATTTTGCATGATAGGTATCCATGTCTATTTGAGAGTCCAACTCCAAAACTTCTTCAAGGTTAGAAAAGAATTAATCCTATAAAACCCCCATAATTGGTAGAAATGTTTTGAAAGATTAGAATTTTTTTTTTACCAATCAAAAGTTGTATCCAAAGTAATCTGAAAGTACATATTGAATTTGATTACTTGAGTATTAACCCAATAACTTTACTAAAAGGCAGTATATAAGCGATCGATAACGAGGAGTAAAGATACTATACAGACTTACGAGACTCATTCTTAGCTAAAGCGAAAAGTAGATTTGTCTGTTTGGTTTTCAGACTTTGAAACATAATATTAAACTTATGAAACATTGGGCTATAAGGTATATCAAAGAATCGATGAATAACGAATAAAAACGAATAAAAGCAATAATGATATCAAACATGAATAACCGTTCTTAAACATGAACACATATTCTAATCCTCTCTCAAGACATTAATCACAAAATTCAACTACTCAATTACTAAACTCCCATTTGTAATTTCCTAGTCAAATTCACAGTATCAAATAGGTTCATTTAGTTCACAAAGCATTCTAACATCAACTCTCGCAGGCTAAAAATACAATGCTCAATTTACATTTATTCATGCATTTTATCGAACATCTCTGAAACATATAACAACCTAAGTTCTAAAACAGGATGAGCAATCCTATTATAGCATTGAAAACATGTAAACTTAAGAACCATATAATAAGAACTCTAAATGAGAGGTTAGTGTGTGACCATGGCTTATCTGAGTTAGGTGAAAAATGTTGATGCTATATTTGAGTGTGTAGTTGAAATTGGGAGTTGGATCTATTGCTGTTTATGTGTTTTCCTTGTTTTTGTATGCTTGTTATGCCTTGATTTTGTGTGGAAATCGAGATTTGATGCTTGGAAATTGTCCCCAGGAGTGGTGAGATCGATTCTGGTGTGTATTGCGAAATCGGTGTCGATCAATACCAAGAGAGCTAGGAGCTTGTCAACTTCCTATTTTGCTTAGTTTAATAGTTTGAGCATCTTGATATTTCATATTGCTTGTGTGTATAGCCTAATAGATGGAATGACCGTTTCACTGAGTATTTGTGATAATACTCACACATGTTTTTCTGTTGTGGTGCATGTAAAGATAAAGTGTGGTCTTGGAATCATCGCAAGGAAGAAAAAATGATGTAAGATTCAAGATATTTGTGGTGTTGTTTATGATTAATTTATTTCCGCTGGAATCTTGGATTTAAAACATGTTAGGCTTGCTAGTATTATTTTTGCTTTGCTAAATTATTGGTTTAAGGATTTATGATAGTTGAAAATGGGTTTGGTGGTTTAATGGTGGTTTGCCATTTGGTTTAATTAAGTATTATGGAGTTTTTTTTTATCATTTATTTTTTCAAAAAGAAAAATGGATCAAGTTGGTTCACATACCATGAAAACAAAAAACTATGATACATTACAATAATAAAAATTATGAATTATTTTATTTCATTAAAAACAATCATTTAAAGAAAAAAACAAAAAAAAAAACATGTCAGCCTACAAAATATATATAATTAATAAACACTGTAAATTGTTGCCCATCAAATGAATGAGATTAAGTGCCACGATCTTCTCCTTCAATACCTTCATCGTCGCATCCTCATTGACCTCTGAATCTGACGAGAGTGTAATGTCCAAGACCGCCTAGGAAAGGCGCCAGAGAGAGGAGACGTGTGAGGACCAATGGGTAAGAGATTTTTCTGATTAATATTTCTTCATAGCTTCAGAGAAATAGAACATAGGAGTAACTTTGAAGAAAATGTAGGTTTTTAATAGAAAATGTTTTGCGAGAAAGAGTATTGTAACTTCATCTCTGAAAAGATTTTATTGACACTTTCTTAAATGTGTCAACCATAGTCGAAGTTACGATACCCTTTATCTCAAATCGCTCTAGTCAAAGACTACAGTTTCTTAAAAGCTACCTTTATGTTATACCATTCTTCAGAAATGAAACTGCATCAATCAGCAAAATCTCTTACGCACTGGTCTTCACACGTCTCCTCTCCCTGTCCCTCCTAGGCGGTCTTGGAGAAGACACTCTTGCTGGATTCAGAAGTCAGTGAGGTGCGGTGAAGGAATGAAGGAGAAGATCAAATGGCACTTGATGTGAAATGTTGTCGGAGAAGAAGATAATTTATACAATCTTTCATTGTTGCTACTTCTTCTGCTTCTCTCACGTTCATTAGTTAAAAGAACATTGTAAAAAATTCAGAACTTGGAGAATGGAAGAGAATCTATAGAATTAGTTTGAAGGAGAAGAAAAAAAAAGACGTTTTCTGTCTATGGTCAGAATTTGACTAATAAGCTTTTGGAATTTATAGAGAAAATAGTATTTGTATTTTTCATAAAACTAGATAGATTTATATTTAAGTATTTTACCTAATATAATCCTAGTCAAATAAAATATTATACTTTCCATTTTACCATTCTATTGTATAAATTTTCAGTCAAAGCTTATTATTATGGTTGACTGAAAACTTACAAAATAGAAAGGTAAAATGGGAAAGATAATAATTTTTTTATTTGACTAGTATGATATTATGGTAGAATAATTTTATAACCAAATCTTTTGACTTATATGATATGATGATAAAATAAGTATTTTCACATCCTATTATTCAAGTCAACTTAAAAAAATTATTTCTTCATTTACCATTATATTATAGAAATTTCCAGTCAATATATATTCTATTTTATTAATATTGACTGGAAATTTCTATAATATAATGGTAAATGAAGAAATTGTTTTTTTTGTTGACTTGAATAATAGGATGTGAGAACAATTATTCTATCATCATATCATATATCAAATACTTTAAAAAAATGTTTTTTTTTTGGGTTCTACAAATCCAAAATCCTACACCAAATAGAGCATAATTATAAAATCTTAATAAATTACGTAGAAATTTGGATTAAATTTAATAAGTTACAAATTTTAATATATATACGCTCTGCCTCAAATTTTATAGTCAACATAAGTTAGCCATTTGATTGTTAAGTAAAAAAAAACTTATACATTTAAACGATATTTTTAAAGTTGAGGATTTAAACGTCTACAATATAGAAGTCGAGGAATTAAACGTCGACAATTTGTAAACTAATGAAAATTGAGGTTTTTAAAGTAAAAGGGAAACATATCATTTTAATTAAATGGAACTTAACCCGTAAATGTGTTGTCTCTTGACTTGTCTCAAATGGCATTGTCAGTGAAAGTTTACATCTGAGATGGGATGAGACCTCAGATGACTATCCTGCTCTAAAGATGATATAAATATATCGAATGACCTTTTTCAAAGATGTTTTATATGAAATTTAGATGATTCTTATGCTAGACTGTAATTCTTTTATCCTTTCACTGAAAAACAAATGACTCAAAACATAAACATCAAGAAATTAAACTAGTGATACTAATAAATAGACTAATCCAAGAGTAGTCACTAATAAGATAACGTATAAATTATGCAAAACAATCTCAAATAAAATCGAATGAATGTTAAAAAGAAAATATTAAAAACTTTTCTATTAGCACATACCTTTAGCAAAGAAAACGAATTCGAGGCTTTTTCATTGATGCGATCGAAATCTCACGAATCTTCTTCAGATACGCCTACGCAATGTGTGTTTAACAAAATACGGCGGATCTGTACATGTGATCTTTTTATAGAGCCAAAAAGTTAACCTAGGTAGCACAAAGAATGTAACATGCCAAACGACGTCGAATACTAAGTGTATTTATACGATGTCGTTTGACACGTATTAATTATGTATTGTCTATATATATTAACATTTAGTTATAAAAAAAGTATTTGTACTACATTGTATACAAGTCTATCTAATATAAATCTGTTGTCGTTTGAAATGTTTCAATTTTTAACATGTCTAAGGAAATTTCTTTTTGTTTTATAAAAAGTGATATAGTTTACAGTTTTTATCTTTGTATTACTAAATCTATCGCCTTCCATAAACCTCAACATACATTTTTGTAGCTTATCTTGCATTAAACAAGATTAAAGAAAGAAGAATAACAATTCAAGAATTGATGTCAAGCTTTGATTTTCCAAAAGCTCTAATGAAAATAAATTTTAAATTTTCACTGGAACATGAGAATTCGATCATTGGGGACATTCACCAAATGGGTTTAAAGAACAAGATGTCAAATTGACTAATAAATAACTTATTTGTTCATAAATATGCAAAAAAAAAAAAAAAACCAAAACATTTTTTTTTTATAAAGGCAAAAACAAAACATAATGTACTAAATAAACTTATTATCCTCCAACCCCAACTCTGGTCTTCTTGATTCACATAATCACATGATGTCTGATTTCGTTCTCCTCAGCTTTCTCTCTGGTTCTCCTTGACGATTGATCATTCCCTTCACGTGTTATTTATATATACATAAAGTTATAACAAAGGTGTGAAATTAGATGTGGCAAATCTTTCAATTGATGTAAAAAAGCAAGAAAGATTGGATTATATAGATTACCGGTTCGATTAGCATTTTCCGCAAATCTACTTGTTGTTTTAGCAGCTCTTCGTATTGTTTCTTTAGTTTTTCAAGTTCAGCTTCAAGCTCCATAGTTTGAGCCTAAAAAAAAGCAAAATAAGAAGTTTGGTACGTCTAGTAACAATCAGTTAAACTGTATAGATAAGATCTATCAAACGTTTTGTTTTACCTGCTTTCGAGCTCGTGATCTCGCTGCTGATTCTCGGTTCTTTATCTTTCTTTTCAGTTTTTTGTCAACGAGTTTATTCTCTGCGGTGATGGCATTAATATCAATCTTCCTACCCCTTGTACTAGTATTACCACTAAAAATGTATGGAGATGATGAGAGTAATGAAGACTCGCCATCGATTTTTCGCGTCTTATTAAGTATTGGAAATGGTTTAACCGAAGAACATGCCATGGTTCCACTAGGATTTTTGGCAACGCTTGGGACCAAACTTCTTTTGTTACCCTGGACACCATTCGAGGATCGGATTTGTTGTCCATATGAGTAACCATTTGGTCTAGACATGATAGGTTGTTGCGGTTGATATGCTGACATAGTAGACACATTCACATTTTGATGCAAATTAGATTCATGACTCATTGGAACCATTGCATTCGGCTGGAACTCCACATCCAAACTCGTGTTTGGATAACCGGAAATCAATGAAGACGAATCATGAATGGAGACGTTGCTCGTATTGTTTATTCTTGCTCCAGAACGAATTAAAAACTCTTCAAGAGTGATCTCACCTAGAGTTTGTTGCCTCTGAAGATGAGAAATGTTAGTTACTCCATAGTTTTTAGTCTCTTCTTCCTGTGTGATATATTTCCAAACTTCATCAACAGTTTTGTGGCTAAGTGTTCGAGGCAGCGATGTTGAGCCTTGTCGTTGCAATGCCCCTTGTGTTTCTTCAGCACTACATATATTCTTAACCAACTCGTCCATGTTCATTGATCCACAGTTTTTTCCTAAGCTAGTCTGAAACTGATCTACTGTCCATGAGTATATCGATGATCCTTGTCGGCTCGACGGATTAGTAACCGGCAAATCATTCACCAGGTTTTTCAATCTCCAGTAACTATCCATTTCACTTGACACAAATCAGAGCTTTTGCTAACACAGTAAGAGTTAAAATGTAAGAGCTTTTGTGGTCAAAATCATACAAAACAGAACCAAAAGAGTAATTTTAAAACAGAGGAAGAGAGTAATCATCAAGATAAAATATCTCAAAAGTTTCAATGAATCAAAAGGGTAATATGCATTTATAGGAAATCTAAGTAAATAAAATAAATCAAAATATCTAGGCTAAGTAAGCACATGATCCAGATTAAATAATAAAATATGGACATAAATTGAATATATGATCTGACAAAAGAAACAAAATTGATAAATAAAAAGGTCAATAAAAGGAGCAAATAATTTATTTAATCTTTTTCATCTCATGTATATATCTAGTAGTTAAAGTTAACATATAATTTAAGAAATATTTAAATAAATTGATAATTAGTAAATATTACTTTTTTATTTTCTATAAATCTTTTTCATATTTATTTACAGACACAACTTTAATTCAATTAAATAAATTAAATTTATGGAAATGATTAATTATTAAATTACAAATAAAAACTTATAGATATTGTTGTAAACCACACGCATTGTATAGAATTAATTTGAGTAGAGGTTATTATGCTAAGATGATATTTATACAACTTAGTAAATTTATATACTATATTTCATGGTAATCATTAATCTACTGAAATAATTAAGATTAACTTAAATATAAATCTACAATACTCTTTTTTTTTTTTGACAAAAAATATAAATCTACAATGCTTAAAAATATGGAAAAGCTCATCCAAAATACGATGATCACAAATAAATAAAAAAATCGGAATTATGAAATTAAAAAAGGGCTAATTTCATCTTTTCTTGCTTGTTTGTTTGTTTCTTTCGAGGTTTCCAGCTACTTCCATGAATTTCCCGTTGCCTATTTGCTTCATTGACTCGAATGTAAATGTTAGAGAAATTACTTCATATCAAAAATTTATTTGAAATTATTAAAAATATAAGATTATGTATAAAACAAAATATAACCTGTGCTATAGCACATATGCTGATCTAGTTATGCATCAAAGTAAAAAAAATTTACCAAAATGAAAACAAAGATATACCATTTCCAGCTTTTTACACCATTTCCATGAAATTGCCTATTTGCTTCATTAAATAGAATTTCCAAAAAAAGATAAAACTTTGTTTATCTTTTCTTTTTCTAAAGAGAAATCATTGTGTTATATAAGACTCTATTCTCTGTCAGTGGGGAACATCAGTGGAGAAACATATCAAAAAAGTGTTACCAAACATAAAAAAACAAATAACTAAACACTATATTATGAGTCAATGGGTCAACGTTCTTTGTTATGTTTAGAGAGTCTCTTTTGAAACTTGTGATCTTCTTCCACATAGCTCTCTTTAACGCTCTCTGATATTATTCATCTCTTCAATCATACTTGCTAATGGATTCTTCTTCTTTTTTCCTTACCACTGTTGTTGCTGCAACAATAGGCTTGTTCACGATTTTAAGAAAACTCAGACTCCATCAAGAAGAGGACGAAGAAACTTCATCACCTCCATCTTCTTTGTCTCCTTCATCTTCTTCATCTTCTCTGAATTGCATCTGGACACACCATGTCTTTCCAAGTTTCCGAGGGGAAGATGTCCGTAGAGACTTTCTTAGTCACATTCAGATGGAGTTCCAACGAATGGGAATCACAACATTCATTGATAATGAGTTGGTGTCTTGACGAATTGGTGGAAATTATGAAGTGTAAGGAAGAATTGGGTCAAATGGTGATGGCTGTTTTCTATAAAGTGGATCCGTCTGATGCGAAAAACTAACCGGAGATTTTGGGAAAATCTTCAGAAAAACTTGTGCTGGTAAAACAAAGCAGGTCACTGGGAGATGGAGACAAGCTTTGGCTAAAGTAGCAACTATCGCTGGTTACCATTCAAGCAACTGGTTTGTTGTTTTCTATCTCCAATTAAATATGTTAATTTTTCTATCTCCATTTACGAAAAAGTTCTAATAAATTTTCATCCTAACCCAATACAAAACGTTTCTCAAAAATTTTTATAATTGTGATCAACCCAATTAATTAAAACAAAACGTTTATTATAAATAGTGAGCTTTCGCGCGACATTGTGCGTAGTATCAACAATAATAGAGGCGGTAGCCAAATGTTTTGTAGTGTCTCAAAGTATAAATGACAAGGATGAAAGAAAATATTAATTTTCCTGATTGTGCTCTCACTTGGGAAGCTAGATAATTAAAAAAGGTTATTCAATAACAAAAACTTTAACCATATATTGTGCTGCCAGTATTTCTGATAGTGTAGAGATTACTACAATAAACAATGTACATAACTTAACTTTTGTTTAATTGTAACTTAGCAAACTATACGATAAGGTCAAATTCATAAATATAACATTTTTTCTTGTAACAAAAACTAAAATTTATAACATTGACACTGAGGTAACTTCACATTCAGTTCACATTCAGCAAATGTTATGCACTAACTAAAATATTGATTACAGATTCTCTTCTTAGTTCTTACCCTGGAGACTTCACAATATATTGATCATTTTGTCTTTGTTTATCCTAAATTAGTGGGATTGCATCTCCACTTAGTCTTTAATATAGTTCTTTCTTTTATTTTGTGTAGTTAAACATCATCGATTAGAAAACAAAGGGAATCTTGAAATTGGACAAAAACAGAGTTATCTCTTTGGTTACTTCTTATGTGTTTAGACATAAAACATCTCTTTTGCTTTGTGGAGGGACCATTCTATCACCAAACTTGTGTTTAGATTAACGGTAATCAATGATGACGTACGAGGCATGAACCGAGACGCTGTTTGTATGGAGTTAAATAAATTAAATTTAAGGAAATGATAAATGTAATATTGTTGTAAACACATGCATTGTATATAATTATTTTGAATAGAGTTCATTATGCAAATATGATATTTATACAACTTAGTAAATTACTATGCTATATTTCATGGTAATCATTAATCTATTGAATTAAGTAAATTACTATGCTATATTTCATGGTAATCATTAATCTATTGAATTAAGATTAACTTAAATATAAATCTACTATACTCTTTTTATATATATATAAATCTACAATATTTAAAAATATGGAAAAACTCATCCAAAATATGATGATCACAAATAAATAAAAATCAGATTTTTTTTTTTTTTTTTTTGAGGTTTCCAGCTACTTTCATGTAATGTAATGTAAATGTTAGAGAAGTTACTTGTGTATACTTTTCTCATATTTAATTTGTGTCATGAGAAAAGTAAATGTTAGAGAAGTTACTTGACGCTTTTGTATACTTTTCTCATATTTGTGTCATGCATAGCACAACCACTACAAAACCCACATGACTTGTTCTTTGTTCTTTGTTCTCATATACTTTAATTTTTTTGTTGCTAAAAAATATTTGAACGAAGCTTCCTCTCTTGCTAGTTGCTAGCCTAGTCATTAAAAATAAATATGATCAATGTCAGTGGAGAAACTTATCAAAACTAAAAGAAATAACATATGCTAAGTCAATGGATCAACGTTCTTTTGTAATGTTCCTTCTCCACATAAACTCTCTTTAACGTTCTGTGATATTATTCATCTCTCCATCATTCATACTTGCTAATGGATTCTTCTTCTTTTTTCCTTACCACTGTTCTTGCTGCAACAATAGGCTTCTTCACGATTTTAAGAAAACTCAAACTCCATCAAGAAGAGGACGAAGAAAGTTCATCACCTCCATCTTCTTTGTCTCCTTCATCTCCTCCATCTTCTCTGAATCGCATCTGGACACACCATGTCTTTCCAAGTTTCCGAGGGGAAGATGTCCGTAGAGACTTTCTTAGTCACATTCAGATGGAGTTCCAACGAATGGGAATCACAACATTCATTGATAATGAGATCAAGAGAGGAGAATCCATCGGTCCTGAACTCATTCGGGCTATTAGAGGATCCAAGATCGCAATTATCTTACTCTCGAGAAACTATGCTTCTTCGAGTTGGTGTCTTGACGAATTGGTGGAAATTATGAAGTGTAAGGAAGAATTGGGTCAAATGGTGATGGCTGTTTTCTATAAAGTAGATCCGTCTGATGTAAAAAAACTAACCGGAGAATTTGGGAAAATCTTCAGAAAAACTTGTGCCGGTAAAACAAAGCAGGACATTGGGAGATGGAAACAAGCTTTGGCTAAAGTAGCCATAATCGCTGGTTACCATTCAAGCAACTGGTTTGTTTTTTTCTATTTTCATTTAAATATGTTAAATTATCTAACACACATCTAAATGTACATATTTATAGGTAGCTTTTCTTAAAGCATAGAAATTAAATTCAAAGTATTCTAGTGTGTGTTTTCTACATAATTGTTTAATCGATGTAGTGATCTCTTCTATTGTTAGGGATAATGAAGCAGCTATGATTAAACAAATCTCTACTGATATTTCCGATGAGTTGAATAATTCAGCATTATCAAGTGATTTTGACGGGTTGGTTGGTATGAGAGCTCATTTGCAGAAGATGGAACCATTGTTATGCCTAGATTCAGACGAAGTGAGGATGATCGGGATTTGGGGTCCTTCTGGGATAGGGAAAACCACCATTGCTAGAGTTGCATACAACAAACTCTCAACCAGTTTTCAACTGAGTGTCTTTATGGAATCTATTGAAGCAAATTATTCAAGACCTTGTTCCGATGACTATAGTGCAAAGTTGCACTTACAACAACTATTTATGTCTCAAATAACCAACCAAAATGATATCAAAATTTCTCATTTAGGAGTTGTTAACGACAGGCTAAAAGACAAGAAAGTTCTTGTTGTTCTTGATGGTGTGGACCAGTCAGTGCAACTAGATGCCATGGCAAAAGAAACTTGGTGGTTTGGTCCTGGGAGTCGGATTATCATCACAACCCAAAATCGGAAGCTTTTCAGGACACATGGGATCAACCATATTTACAAGGTGGATTTTCCACCGGATGACGAGGCTCTTCAAATCTTTTGCACGTATGCGTTTGGTCAAAAGTCCCCTAAATATGGGTTTAAAGAACTATCTCAAGATGTTACAAACCTTGCTGGTAATCTCCCTTTGGGTTTAAGGGTTATGGGCTCTTATTTTCGAGGAATGTCTAAGCAAGAGTGGGAAAAGGAATTACCAAGGCTAAGGACTAGCCTTGACACTGATATTCAAAATATTTTGAAGTTCTGTTATGATGCCTTAGATGACGAAGAAAAATATTTGTTTCTTCATATAGCTTGCTTTTTTAATCATCAAGTGATTGAGAAAGTGGTTGCTCATCTTTCATATCTATTCTTGGATGTGAGACAAGGGCTTAACGTCTTACTTGAGAAGTCTCTCATCTCAATAGAGGATGGATTTATAACTATGCATAATCTGCTAGTCCAACTAGGTAGAGATATAGTTCGTAAAAAGTATGTTCGTGAGCCTGGACAACGCCTATATTTAGTTGATTCAAGAGAAATTTGTGAAATACTCACTGATGATGTAGGAGTAAGTGTTGACATATAACCCAAAAAATGATGTTTATTTGATGATGAATCATATCTTATTATTTTTGTTTCTTTTTCAGGCTAGTAGAAAATTCATAGGCATAAATTTCGATTTCAGCACGAAAAACGTCAAGGAAAAATTTAATATAAGTGAGAGAGCCTTTCAAGGAATGACTAATCTCCGGTTCTTAAAATTCCAGGGGGGTAACAATACTGTAGATCTACCCTGTGGTCTAGAGTATATGTCTCAAAATCTTCGATTATTACAATGGTCCTATTTTCCAATGACATGTTTGCCTCCGATATTCAACTCGGAATTCCTAGTTGAAATAAAGTTGAGCTATAGCAAACTTGAGAAGCTGTGGGAAGGAATTAAAGTAAGTAAAATTTTTATTTATTTTTTATAGAATTTAAATTAATTTCAAATTAATATCTTTTCCTTGTTATAACTTTATTTTAATTAATTATTAAAAGCATGTAAGAGTGTTTTTAATGTTCTTACAGTTTTTTAATTAAGTGTAGATAAAATTTTCTTATTATTTGTTTGTATAGCCGCTTCCAAATCTCAAGTGGATGGATTTGAGTTCGTCTAAAAACTTAAAGGAGCTTCCTGATCTCTCAACAGCTACCAATCTTTTGGAATTGGATCTCGGAGATTGCTCCAGCCTGGTGAAGCTCCCATCGACTATTGGGTATACTAAAAATCTTCAGCAATTGGATCTTTGTGGTTGCTCAAGTTTGATAAGTCTCCCCTCTTTCATTGGAACTTCCACTAATCTGCAAATATTAAATCTCGGTGTATGCTCAAGTCTAGGGGAGCTTCCTTCCTTTGATAATAATTTCATCAGTCTAAGTGGATTGGATCTTAGCCGTTTATCAAGTCTGGTGGAGCTCCCTTCCTTTGATGGTAATTTCATCAATCTAAGAACATTGAATCTTAGCGGTTTATTAAATCTGGTGGAGCTCCCTTCCTTTGTTGGTAATTTCAGCAATCTAAAAGAATTGGATCTTAGCCGTTTATCAAGTCTGGTGGAGCTTCCTTCCTTTGTTGGTAATGCCATGAATCTTGAAATTTTGAACCTTAACTATTGCTCAAGTCTGGTAAAGCTTCCCTTTTCTATAGGAAACCTCCAGAAGCTGCAGTATTTGATCTTAAACGGGTGCTCAAAGCTAGAGTTTCTTCCGACCGACATCAATTTGGAATCTCTCTATGAACTTGATCTCACGAATTGCTTTTTGTTGAAATTCTTTCCTGAGATCTCCACGAGCCTTACATATCTCAAGCTCAAAGGAACTGCAATAGAAGAAGTCCCTTCATCAATCAAATCTTGGTCTCGTTTCACATATTTGAGTATGACATACAGTGTAAAACTCAAGGAATGTCCTCATGCTTTTCACGTCATCAAAGAGCTGCACGTGGATGATAAAGAAATACAAGAGCTTCCTCCATGGGTCAATGAATTCTCTCGTCTGGAATTACTTATGCTCAATAGATGCAAAAAGCTGGTGTCAATCCCACAGATTCCAGATTCCCTCACTTACATAGTTGCAGAAGATTGTGAGTCCTTGGAGAGACTAGATTGCTCCTTTCAAAATCCATATATTTCTAGTCTCAATTTTGCTAAGTGCTTCAAATTGAATCAAGCAGCCAGAGACCTCATCATCCGAACACGGACTAGTGAGTATGCGGTCTTACCCGGCGGAGAAGTGCCTTCATACTTCACTCACCGAGCTGCCAGAGGTTCCTTGACAATTAATTTAAATGAGAAGCATCTTCCTACATCCATGAGATTTAAAGCTTGCATTTTGCTGGTTAATGAAAATGAAAATGACACTCGCTCTAACGTTACTGTTACGTGTAAAAATAGCAGGATGCGACTATATGACAATTTTACAGAGCATCTGTACATATTCGAAGTGGGAATGGACGTGACTTCCAGCATTGGACTATTTCCCACTTTAACAGAGCATTTGTACATATTCGAACTGGAAATGGACGTGACTTCCAGCGAGCTTGTCTTTGAGTTCAAGGTTCGCCAAAACGATTGGGTGATAGGACAGTGCAATTGGAAGATAGGACAATGCGGGGTAATCCAACTCTCAGAGGTCCCTTGATGAATCATAACAAGGCAATTACAAAGAGACACCCTTGGTGAATCTGAAGTCTATGGCCAAGTATTGGAGACTGTCACTACAATTGAAGAGCATAATGAGATAAGCATCAAGGTAATCTAATCTACGTTTATAGATTTTGTACAATATTAAGGGAATCTGAAATCTTTGTGTATCTGCAACCTTAATTCTTCTTTTAACTTTTTAATCCTCAACCATTATCCGAAGAAAGCATTTGAATATTATATTCATTGTGTTAAATCATCTCTTCAACAAATGTGAGAAATATTAAAATTTGTAATTCCAACATTAATTATGGTATGTGATCAGCTTATTCATTTTAAAACTTCTCTTATGCATTTTTATATTTTTTGTTTTCAACGACAGGTTAGTAATCCGTCAAAGCAATTTATGTTGTATGAGACAATGTCAACCAGCCGCTTTGGAGGTCAAGACAGGGGACTAAAGCAAAGAGTTGTTGTGTTGGTTTCTGAAATCGCAGGAAAGTTTGGATGCGTTTCTAAAAATGATTTGATACAAAGGGATGAACACAAAGATAGTGCAAAGTGTTCTGTTCATGATCAAGGAAGAGCTTACGAAGGGAGCTAAGTTGTTGCTCTCAAATGCCAAACTCTAGCAAAAACTCAAGTCCAACGACAACTTTTAGATTATAAGATTAAAATAAAATAAAATAGATTAAACTTCCAATAGTTTCTTGATTAATTTACCAAACACTATTGGGATTGTCGTGCATTTTTCATAATGATTGCAAGATTCCAGAAGACTTTTTGTTTGATCTGATGACTAAAATGATTCTACATTTTCGAAATCACCATGAATTAGATTTTATTTTCTGATAAAATTGTGCATCTATTCAAATTAGGGAGATTTGCACAACTAAACTTTTTATGATACATTTTCTACAAGTACCCTCTGTAGGTGTCCATTTTCAAACATACCCTCTTTAATGTATAAAAAGATTAAATTACCCTCCTTTATTATAACTCATGATAAGGAAAAGAATATTCTTTCTAACAAAAAAAATATTCTTTCCAACAAAAATAATATTCCTTCCGCCAAATTTTCCCGCCAAAAAATTTCCGCAAAAAAATTTCACGCCAAAAAAATTCCCGCCAAAAATTTTCCATCAAAAATTTTCCGACAAAATTTTTCCGCAATTCCTTAAAAAATCTTTTTAAAAACCTTGTAAATATTTTTAAATCCCTTAAAAAATCCTTAAAAAAACCTTGTAAATCTTTTAAAAGTCATCCAAAACCTTTCAAAACTTGAGTTAACCTTTTAAAATCATTGTTAATCATTTTATAACATTTATAAACATTTGTAAATCCCTTTAAACCCCTCATAACCGTGATAAATCATTTAATAAAAACTTTCATAAACTTCTAAAACCCTTTAAAAACCCTTGTAAATCCTTAAAATCCATTTTAAAGAACTTGTAATACATTTAAAAACTTTTGTAAACCCTTTAAAAACCTTTATAAAGTTCTAAACCCCTTTAAAACCCCTTGTAAATCCTTTAAAACTATTTTTAAATCTTTGTATGCCCTTAAATACACTTATAAATCCTTTTAAAAACACTTGTCAATCCTTTTTAAGAACCTTTAAAAATCCTTGTAAATTTTTAAAATCCTTTAAAAAATCCTTGTAAATCCTTTTAAAACTGTTATAAACTTATAAAAACTATTAAAAACCATTGTAAATCATTTAAGAACCATTTCAAAACTTTTGTAGGCTTCTAAAACCTTTTAAAAACCATTACAAATCTTTTAAAAACCATTTAAAAACTCTTGTAAATCCCTTTAAAAACCCTTGTAAACCCTTTAAAAAATTTGGCGGGAAAATTTTGCAAAAACATTTTTTTGGCGGGAAAATTTTTGCTGAAATATTTTTGGCGGGAAAATTTTTTCGGAAAAATTTTTGGCGGGAAAATTTTGTTCAGAAAATTTTTTGGCGGGAAAATTTTGGCGGGAAATTTTTGGGGGGAAATTTTTTGGAAGGAATATTTCTTACTTTGGGAAAGAATATTCTTTCAAATAAGGGTAAAATGGCCATTAAAATTTAAGAGAGGGCAAAAATGAAAATGGCAAAAAAAAAGGGTATCATAAAAATGTTATTGTACCAATTTCTCTTCAAATTATTACTTTTACTTTTACTGATTGGTAACGGCTGTTAGTTTTGGCTGTAGAGACTTTGACTTTAAAATTTTAGATGCAGAGAAATTGGCTGTAGAAACTTTTAATGTTAAAATCTGATTGGTAATGCACCACTTTTAAAGATGTGGCTATTATTTTTTTATTATTATTTTATATTAATAAAAAATATAAATTATGCAAGAAATGAATTTATATAGCAATTTAATGACTAATTTTTGTTTATTAATGATAAAAAATTGTGAAATTTAAATAAATCATACTACAAGAATAAGAAATAACTAAAGTTGTAGACATCAGTTTATTGAATTTTTAATGATGATGAAAATAAAAATGATTATTATTAAAATGGATCTTAAAAGAACAAGAAAAATATGAGAATAATTAATTTGTAAAATTAAAATATATTTATAAACTTCTAGAATGATTTAAATGTAATGGGGATGTGAAGAAATAAATAATTTTTAATTTTTTAGATTTTAAAGTCAGGTTTTTGACGCTTCTAAGAAAAATGAGATAACAAAGAAGGAAAATATAAAAGTGGCTTTCAATACTGTTTGATTGGCAAAATAATTGCTATAGAGGCTTTAAAAATATTTAAAGCCTTGAAAGTACACAACCAATAGGCCACTATATCTTTAAAATTGAATAGAAAATAATTGGAAAAATAAAAAGAAAACTACACTTGGTGTACTCAAATAAAAAAAATTAAGAATCTATACATGCTTTTTTTATTAGTTCTCTCTCTTCACAAATTAAATTGGACCAAACTATCCCTACGATAGATAACAAATATTTTATCACATAACAAAATAGATATCCATAAAATTTTAGAATAACTTTTCTATATCATTTATATGTTTCTTATGCATAAGTTAACGATAGCAGATGAAATATCATAATAAATTAACATATTAATATATAAGTTAGTTGATATCAGTCATATAATACATATATTTAACTCGATAATTATGAATTTATCAAATAATTTATAATTTATAGCTGTAACATTTCAATAACTATAAATAATTTAGTTGTATAGCTATGAGGTTATCAAATAACATATAATGTATAGCGGTAACATATGATTTACATAGTTAATCAAATATATATCCACAAAAGTTACTCCATAAACCAAATATCTTTAAGGGTAGAAAAGTAACTTCATTAGAGGGAGGAGAGAGATCTAATTTTTAAGTTATCAAGCCTTTGCTTTTAGTTTTCTGATTATTTGAGTACCCATTTTTAGCCAACCCAAAATAAAAATGGCAATACATAGATATTTAGAAGATTTAAAATTATAGTTTCGTTATCATATTTGTTTGATTTTATTTTTTAATTTATTTCATATAAAACATAAAATTAATAAAATCTACTTTTCTTTTTCTACATATTTTGTGATTTGAATTTTTTTTAAAGGATATATATATATCACTCAATTAATATAAAAAAGTATATGTTCAACATCTCAGTCCATTAAATTGTTAAGAGAATGATTTAGAGCCATATTATACATAAGATTAAAATGATTTGAAATGCGAGTAAGCAAAAATTTTCTCTTAATAAGCATCCAAACTTTGAAGTTTGTATAGCATTTAGTTTGTTTTTAAGTAAACTGTTTAATTTTACCGTATATAGTCAATTTTAAACTTTTAAAAAGTTTAATTTTATATATTTAAATTTAATAAAAAATTTAAACTATGTTTTACACAATGAGACTGGTTTGAATCGACATTAATTACTAAACAATTATCATATCATTAATCTGATATTTCAATATCGGTTAAATCTTTATTTTCTATTTTTAATGACATTAATATAATGCATATAGAATCAAACTGATTTAGATAAGATTAGTATCATAAAATCTTAATTTTTATTAAACAAACTTTAACAAAATCTATAAATTCCAAAAAATAGAAATTTAAAAATGTTTACTCGGCGTTGTACTACGAGTTAAAATCTTGTTCAAATTAAGAAATTATCTACCTCAACACAATTTAAGTATGAGAAAACAATATATTAACAACTGAGGTAACTTCACAATATCAACAATATAGGTGCGGTAGCCAAATATTGACTTTCCTGACCCAACTCATTGTAGAAAGAAGGTAACATAATCTACGTTTATAGACATTGTACAATATTAAGGGAATTTGAAATCTTATTGTATCTGCAACCTTGGCCAAATATTAATTCTTCTTTAACTTTTTTTTTTTATCATGAATTATTATCTGAAGAAAGCATTTGAATTTTATAGTCCAGTGTGTTAAATTATCTCATCAACAGAAATATCTCTGGACTTTTTGTTTGATTTGATGACTAAACATAGAGTTTAGAATCACTTTAACTACATTTTATAGAATTTTTTTCTGATAAAACCTTCTCAATAACTGTGATTAGTTAAGTAATATATCTTAACATTTTTGAACTACATTTTGTACTAAAATCTAATTTAGGCTATAACCTTTATTTTGTAATATTTGCATAATCAAACACTTGCCATTTGAATAAATAACAAAAGTAAATTTTGTAATTAAATCACAAGCAAATCTCAAAATTGGAAATAAATATTTATTACATCAAAAAAATTTCCTAAAATAACTCTCTAATAATTTGAATATCTCTCCAATATATTTATATAATCTTATCTATTTTCCATTTATATTATTACATAAAAAATATTATAATAAGAATACCAATTTTTTCACACATTTTGCAATTTAAATTTTTGAAAACGTACGTATATAACTCAATTGATAAAGGGAAAATCTTATTATATAAACCTTGGTTTTCAAAGTCAGCCATTAACAAGATCGTGACACGTGTCAATTATAAACGATAAGATGTTGACACGTGGCATAACTAATTTTGTTAATATTTGGATAAAATAGAACTATTATTAACCCTATCGAATAAGGAAATATATAAAATAAATATTATAAAGAATTATATATTAAAAATTATTAATAAAATTAAACAAATAATCTAATTTCAGTTATGTCAATTTGGTTTATTAAAAAGATAGGAATTTATAATTTATAATTAACGAGATTATATGTCAAAACTTGGTTTTTAAATTTACTAACTCACGTGATCATGATAAGTGTCAAGTAAAACATAAGATGTCGCAATATGTTATATCTAATTTTTTTAATATTAAGATACAAATAGAATTTTTGAATAACATTAAAAAAATATATATAAAAAATTAAAGAGAAATTTTGAGAAATAACCCTTTTGGTGTACCCTTTTTCAAAAATACCTCCTTTATCTATTCATGTTCAAAAATATCCATGTTTAAATATGAAAAATTATAAAGTTTTATATGGCTTATAAGGTACTTCTATATAATAACTACTACTTGGAAATTTGATACAAATATTTTATAATGTTTTAAAAGGTTTTAAATCGTTTTTACAAGTTTTATAAGATTTTTAAGTGGTTTTTAAAAGGGTTTATAAGGTTTTTAAAAGGTATTTATAAGTTATTTTACGCTATTTATGAAAGATATATAAAAATTTAAACATATATAAAGGTAATTTGTGTGTATATTTATAAGTTTTCACACATATTTGGATAAATTTCAACATTTA